ATGCATTTCATAAATTAATATGTCTGTATTACCTCATATATATGTATACACATATTAATTCATGGATTAATTTTATCTGTAACACTGATATAAGATTAAAAGATAATCTTATTGTTTAACACGTTTGAGTAACTATTCTAAAGGGAAAATAAATATCCAAAAGTGAAGAGTTTTGTCAAACTATAGATCAAGTTAAAAATTAACTTTAAATAAGTCTCAGAGTGATTGAGGGTTGTATCTGTTCATCATTTTCAGATATCCTAAATTTAACTTGGATAAGTACAACTCATTTAATATTCTAGTAACAGTTGTTAATTGTAAAATAAAAATGCTACTGTAAAAGGTTAGTAGCTATGATTTATATGTTCTGTTAATGGGTTTATGATATGAATAACTTTAAAATATGCTAAAAGCTGGCTTGCTTCTCTATAATAAATAACCTAAATTAAGTAGTTAAAGTTTTTTTGAAATCACTTTGTTTTTGCAGAAAAAAAGACTTGCAAGGTTCAGAAACAAAGATTTTAGGTTTTTCCCACCTTGAATATGTTATGTGGTCTTCTCTGTACAAACTTGCATCTACATATGACACAGTTTGGAACACAAATATGAGCTGATAATGTAAGTTTTAAAACTGCTAATAACCCTATGTGTAGGAGTGACATAATCTTATAATATAAAAGTTATGTTTTTGTTGTAAGATCATCCTATATGCTAACAGTGTAACTTTTGACTGAAATGCTTCTAATTACAGTTTGTTCTAAGGGCCGGGGATTTAACTCAGCGGTTCTGCTGCCTGCCTCACAAGTGCAAGGTCCGAAGTTTGATCCCCAGTACAAAAAAACAAAAAATGTAGGCTGGACATGGTAACAGATGCCTGTAATCCCACACTCAGAGGCTGAGGCAGGAAGATTATAGTTCTAGTAGACCAGCCTAGGCTACATAGTGAGTTCAAGCCCAGCCTGAACTACATAGAGAGACTCTGTTTCAAACTTTAAAAAAAAATTTAAATGTAATACACAAGGATAATGCTAGTATTATTGTTTAAAGTAATAAAGTTTAAGATATTCATCTGTAAAAACTTACAAAAATCTATTTCAAAAGGGATTTTAGGGTGAAGGGAGGGCAGGGACAAGGGGAAAAAATGAGAACCAAGACCTATCATGTAAAGATACAAGATCCCAATAAGGAATGTAACTGTACTGTATACCTAAAATGTACCAATAAACTCAATGAGGAAAAAAAATTTTTAAATAAAAATAAAAAGAGATTTTAGATATGTCAAAATAATTTCTTATGTGCCAAGAGCCACTTTATGTAATTTTTGGGGAAAAATAATTTCATAATTAAATTGTGGTTAGGGCTCATCTGAAGCCTAGTGTCCTTGCCATACAAGCTGGCCATGGCATGTGGAAACATCACTCTGTGTGCCTCCAGTCACAGTTGAGGCCTCAATGGTCCCATGATGCTGGGGCGCTCCAGGGAAAGATTATGTCAGCTAAAGACATCCTGGTTCCTTGAGAACTGAGTAGTAATAAAATTAAAGTTTTACCGAGGAAGGGCACACTCCTTATTAACCTGCTATCCCTTCCCACCTGCTAGTGTAAGAATGTTTTGCCCATCTCACTGCCCTCATCAACATAATGACCCTCATCCACATAAGATCCTCATCAGGTGGGGGATTTAGCTTGGTGGTTCCGCCCACCTTCCTTGCAAACACAAGGACCAGAGTTTGATCCCCAGTACCAAAAAAATAAAATAAAATAAAATGAATAAGGTCTTTATCAGTAGAAGATCACAGCCACCCTCTGAGTCATTGGATACTCCCTTTGATTATTGTATGTGCCCAATCAATAGTAGCTCTCTTGGAGTGTCTTTGTCTCTGCCCACTCTGGCATTGGTCTCCCAGTCCCCCAAGTACTTTGAAAATGTGTCTCTGTCTTTCTTCCTTTATCTACCACTGCAACCCTCTCTAGGCAGATCAGAGGACTGACCAGTCTCCAGTACTTGTGTTCTTTCTGTCTTGTTAATATTGTTATGTTTAGGAAAATTAAGTCTTAGGAAATTCATTTACTTGTTTAAAATTCTGGTAACATAATTTTTAAAAATGTAATTGTCCTGCTATAGTGCAGTCTGTCATAATTATTGTTTTAATGCACTATAATAAAATTTGTTTGCTAAATTGTTACCTTGCATATTACTTATTGACATATAACTAGTAAAGGCCATGTTCCTCATGGTTGATAAGAGATAGACTTGCTAAAAAATGTACACTCTTAGTAAAATGGGAGTTGATACTTGTATGCTGTATTCAAAAATGTTTATAGTTCTGAATACATACCTAAGAAATCCTAAAGTCTAACTAAGCTGTGATTCTTGGTGTTGGCTTTAATAAATTGTGTGCTTTCTCCCAAATATTCATTAACTCTGGTTTACAAGAGGAGGGGACTCAAGTATTTGTTTGATACACCTGGTAGAAATAAGCTTGTTTCACAAAAATAGTGGCTTTCTTTACTCAGCTTGGCACTGTGTTTACTTCAGTTCTACTGTACAGAGTCAACTTGTTTTGTGTTTGTTTATAAGCTTTGTACCTATTTGCAAAGTTCTAATGTTTTGAGGTGCTGATGGTGAAATAAGACTGGGCTAAACCTGACAATGAACTCTAGATAAACTCAGCCTAAGAAACACTCTTGCTAAATCTCTGACATTGCCCATATTTGGTAATAAGGGCTTATGACACTGACTCAAATCCTCTGTCACATCCCCTCCAATATGTGAAATATCCTGTCACCAAGAGAAGCTATCTTGGCTTCAAGGGACAAGACTGAAGATGGTTAATAAATAACACCTTCATAAAAAAAGAAAATGTATTTGGAGACAAAGGGGAAATTTCTGAGTGTCGAAGAGTCACCTGTGTGTCGACTCTACACAAATAAGTGGAGTGATAGAGGTTATGAAAGAGAGATCCTGTGCATGACTACCTAAAAGCAAAAAGGGCCCTTCTAGCAGGTGTAATGGTTAGACATTTGATTTTGTCCTTTTTTATTCTATTTCACAATTTGTAGTGAAATTTTCTCAAGCTTAAGTGTTACTGTGGGTGATGGACTTCCACATAGGTTCCTAGGTTCTTGTGTGTGACAAGAATTGTATGTGGCACATGACAGTAAGGAAACAGCCACAGAGTTTAGTTAGGCAACAGTATGCCCAGAATGAGTGGATTTATGGCCAAAGGCTGAAGGTGTTGGGTTTAGGGATTTAAAATGTTGTGCCTGGTCTTTCCGAGTGTGATTGACAGGGTGCTGAGTCATGTAGCTGTGTGTATTGCATGTGTTCTTTCCCATAATTCACTCTGTTATAATTGGATGAGTGAGATGTGGTCCATATTCGCGAACCTTAAGTGAGCTCCAGGTGAAGAGAGGCTATTGCAGGTCCCACAGGGGGATTTGACACACGTGGGTCCTGGTTTGAGATGGTGCACTTTTCCTGGGCAGGCTTGGGTGTCGATTTTTCTTATCTCTGACTCTAGTAGTAAGCCTTAGGGCAAAAGGGGGCATTGGTCCTAAGGCACTGCCCAGCTTCAGGGGAGCAGAGGTGAGTGGTCCAGCAGCAAGTGGAGGGGAGCAGCCCCAGAGCCCCAGTCATACTATCTACGTTACCAGCATCTGGCTTTCCTTTGCTCGCCCCAATCCAACATGAGACAGACAGCCAGATGAGGTAGCACCTCAAGCCCCTCAAGACTGAGGACTGAAATAAGCAAGAGAGGAACTGTAACTGACACTGAAAAATGGAACTTTACAGTGAGACTGGTTTTCTTTACAGAAAACCAACTTCTCCAAACTTGCTCAGGTTTAGGGCATAAACATCCACCCCCACCTCTCTTCCACCCCAGCCCAGAGTAATGGACAGAATATGCAGATGCTCTTCCTAGGATGTCATTTCTTTGGCAAACAGAAAGAGGTCCAGTCCAAGAAGAGACAGAATTAGCCTGAACGTGTCTATTGTTCCACTGTATTCCCTCCCCTCTGTTCTTTACTATAAAATACCCTTCCCCTCCTGTATGTAATGAGATGGCGATTTGAGGCAAATAGGCCCCTCTATCTCCTGGGAAGTAGCTTTGAATCAATCCTCTATCTCCTTGTAGGTAGCTTTGGATAAATCCTTTCTTCCTTTTTACCAAAATACATGGCCTCCTTTGGCTTGGTCAGTGGCAAGCAAATGAGCCTAAGCATATGAACCTGAGTGGCCAGTAACTACATATTTCAGTCACACCTTGTATTATATATTATGTGATTTTGTTATTTTATGTCACTATAAATATATAATATTAATTGCTACCATTTATAAAGTCCTATCATTTGTCAAGACATTTTTCTTCTCCCCTATACCCACCATCTACGGCCAAGGAATGCTAACTCACTCTGCAGGCCTGTTTGGGTTTGGCTATCAGTCTCTTCAGGAAGCTTTCTCCATCTGACTATAGCCTGGATTAGCTATGCGTGAGAGTTAGTTGCCTGCATTTCTCCCTACAGTAACACTTATCCCACTTTCTTAGAGTTTCCTGTGTAATTGCTGATCACTCCAAAGAGAATAAACTGCATGAAAAGAGGGAATCAATTATTCTGTTACTCTTTATATTGTCAGTGCCTAGAATAATGCCAGGCATCTAGTAGGTGCTCTCTAAATGTTTATCAAACAATTAATGCTAAGCATTTTATATTATTTTATATTTTTTAAATTATTTCAAATACATATTAAATACACCCATGGTGGGAAATCGATACAAAAACATATCAAATCATGATACTTTTTACTTCCCCTGCCATTCTCCCCCTCCTGTCTTCCCACCTCCCCACATTTCATATTAATATATTATCAGAAAATACTAGCATGAGTACAAAGACCAAAGCTTCCTAAATCGGTTGGCTCACACTTCCTTTCTTGGGTATGGCTATAAAAAGAAACAAGAAAACTCAAGTGAAACTGACGGTGCTATAAGCAAACTCGCTTTGTCTACAGAAGATCAGACGCTGGACGAAAATGGCTCAGCACCACCTGCGTTTCTTGCTCCTGTGCCTGCAAACCTGTGAGTTCTGACCCCTGCCGAATGCCTCCCATAGTTTCTCATAAAATTTTAGAAATGACACTTAAGGGAGACTTTAAAATATCCCTTTGATCTGTTTTCAACAAAACACCTTTGGGTCTCAATACTATCCTACTTAAAAGAGATCCAACTGTTGGGGGAGGGACTTAGGATCCAAATCTAAGAGTTTCTAAGTTTTGAGGTTAATATTTCCAAATTTTGTCTGTGCTGTCTCCAAAGATCTGAGGAAAAGCGCTCCGCTCAAAAAAGCCAGCAACTGGTAGATAGATCATCCATAAAGCCCAGCAACAAGCTAGATCACCCACAACCTCGAATGAACTAAAAGCAGTTTCTTTCTGATGTTAGAATATGTGATCTTTGAGACAGATCTTCCTAATAGTATTTCACTGCTTTCTCAGATTAGAATAATGCAAAACTCCTTATAATCACTGTGAAAATCTCCACTCCATAATCTCTTTTTATTTTCAAAGTACATTTGGGGTTATCACTCTGCTTCTTAGTCCCCCCAAATTAAAATAAATAGGGAAAAGATCTTTTTTTACAATAAATCTCAAAAAAGAGGTGGATAACTTGAATTAGAAACCCTGTTTGTCTTAATTAAGCCTTAATACAAACTACAAAAGAAAGTTAATATTGGTTGTTATTAATACAAAACTAGATAACACTAACATGGGCCTCCAAGTACTTTGTCATTCCTCCCATTATGATCATAAATTCAAAGTTCTCTTGTTTATGTAAAATTTGTTTACAATTTCAAACTCTAGTTCTAATACAATGGACTCTCTAGTTAGGATTGGTCTGACATATGAACAACTCGGATTATAAAAAGAATTTTAGTTTTAACTTGCAAACAAAGTCTTGTATTATCACCCAACGCCAGTTGCTGTACTTTCAGATGGTCTCAGAATTAACCCTTTGGGTCAGGGATTTAGCTCAGTGGTTCTGCTGCCTGCCTCGCAAGTGCAAGGATCAGAGTTCAGTATAAAACAAAACAAAAAAACAGATTAAATCCTTCAAGAGTTCTAGAAGGAATGTTACAACATCCTTTCCTGTGTGAGTTTAATTGAGAAATCCTGGGCCAATGTCCCTCTATGGATACTGAGATCTACCTGTATACAGGAGAGAGACTTTGAAGGCTGTGTAGAAGAGGAGCCTGAGCCTTCAACTACGCAACTTGAGTTACAACCAGTCCTCGAGAACAAATTGAGTTCATAAATCAAGGGTCCACTGTATCTATTACCCATTCTGAATATGCACAAACTCCCAGCATTGCTGTGCTTAGAAACTGGGTAACCTAGTGGGTTAGGACTTTCTGAAAAGGTATATATATGCTTATTATATTATCCATACTAAAATCATTGAAATTGATGAAATGGATATTATTAATTCCATTATGTCAGAGAAGAGGAAGAGAAGAAAGAAGAGGAGGGAAGTGATTCAGAGGTACAGTATTTCACCTGAAGCTCCACTACTAAAAACTAATAGAGCTGGAAATGGGCATTAATTCTTCTAATTCCAAAGCTATATCTCTTTATGTTCCATATGACCTTCTCATTAACTATTTGCAACTCCTTGATGGCCTTCAAAGGGCTAAATCTGCCAACATAACAGGCAGCTCTAGCATATACTTATCAAATTGAGGTTGTCAAATCAGCTAGTAGTCAATCAGTCACTCATAAACTTTGGAATCCTAGGGAAATTATTCAACCTCTTTGTTTCTTTCACTTTAAAATGAGGAACTATTAATACAATGGGGTTATTTTGAAACTCAAAATGATAATTTACGTACAACAGTTAGCACACTACCTGAATATACAAGTGGTCAAGTATTAGCTACATCTATTATTGGTTTCACACTTGTTTTTCATGCATTATTAAGCAGGGCCTTGGCTTTATTACACAGAGCTCCTGGGCAGGAATTCTCTGTTTGGGATGGCCCAAAGAATATGAGCAGGCAAGATAGTAGGAGTTTGAGTTGAGGGGTGGGCTTCTAGGGTTCTGAGAAGAAAAGCAAGAATGAAATATTCGTTTTGTCAGGGATCCCAGACATGGAGACTGGAGGTTTGTTTTTACAGAAATAAAGTGCTTCTGCATACCATTTTCCTTCACAAAATGGATATATTTCCCTCTTGAAGATTATTCCCCAAACATTTCTTGAGTACAAAAACATACCCTAAATTCCTCCTGCTGTTGTTTTCGAGAGATGGTTCCTTATATTCACTATTGGCTTATGCACTTCTCTAGAATTTGAGTTGAAAGAGCTAAGAAGCTGTGAAAAGATGAAGGCAGAAATTCCCATTTTCCTCCTAAAATCATGGACATAGGGAAAGTCTGGGTGTGTGAATGTATGACTGCCCCATGTTGGAAAAATTTTCTTGAAGAATCAAGACTCATCATCAGATGATCTTGACTTTCTCATCATGAGTTTGGAGACGCTGTGACTCTGACTGTATCCTTCCAGCCACTTACACTTCAGGGGTGGAAGGTGACAAAGCTTACCACTTTTGCTCCTTACCCATTCCCTCTATATGTTCTGTCTTATGCTCTTTTAATTATCTTTTTCTCCTCCCATTTCTAGCATCTATTTCTTTAACACCTTCTTTTTCTCCTTTCTTCTACCTCCCATCAAAAACAGTAATAACCATGTGGGGAGCAATAACTACATATCTGACATGATCCTAATTAGTCTACAGTTATTATTGAAAGGGGGTTCATGTGCCCTTTCGGGTGTCCCTTCCCAATTAGGCCACTCATGCACTGAGAGGTCTGGCAGGAGATCTTTATTGTAGGGAGGCGAGCAGGAGGCAGAAAGGCAGAGAGAGTGAGAGAGGAGGAAGAAATGTGCTTATTTGAGGAGTGAGTTACTTTTAACCTATCACAGACCAGATTGTTTTTATGGGCCCAGTTCTGCAGACACAGGTTTCAACTTTCCTGGACCACTGTGGCCTTTGTGGGGAGGGAAACCAGAGATAAGGGCATGAGGTCATTTTAGGAGCCAAGATGTATCAGGAGAATGCAGCCTGTGAGGCGGCATCACAGCATACTTTAACATGATCAATTCCCTAACAATTATTTTGTTTAAATAATACCCTATGAGCCAGGCATGGTGGCACATGCCTGTAATCCCAGCACTCGAGAGGCTGGGGCAGGAAGATCGCTGTGAGTTTGAGACCAGCCTGGCCTACAAAATGAGTTCCAGGTCAGTCTCAACTACACAGTGAGACCCTGTCTCAAAAAAACAAACAACCCCCCCCAAAAAAATAAATAATACCCTATGAGATGGATAATATTAATATACTCATTTACAAACGCAAACATTGATGCTCAGAAAATCGGAGGTCATTTACCAAGAAGTAGAGGAAGCAGGATTTAAACTCCACTATCCTTAGATTTAACCACCAAGTCATGCTGTTCCACTCACCTTGATGCTGAAGTGGAGAAAGATATTAGCTCCACTATGAATGGTTAACATGTTTATATTTTTATCAGTAAACAGTGATGTTTTATTCCCAGCAACATAGGATTATTTATGTAGAAGCTGTATTTGTTTCTACTGCCATAGTAGAGGAGTATGGAGCTGATTGGTAGACCCTTGCCAATAACAGAAGTATAGGCAGGCCAGTAAGGCAGGATATCAAAGAAAAATCCATCTTTCTGGACATGATTCAGAGGCCATTCACTTCTGTATGATTCAGGTTGACTTGAATTAGCTACTTTAAAATAAGCAAAAATCCAATGGCAAGATGGCCTTGATGTCCTGTTGGGTATAGAGCCACATCACGGGGCATTATAGAACCTTAAAATCCCAAGAAGGGAGGGGACCCACCTGGACATGTGTGTAGGAATAACTGGACCTCACTACTGTCCTAGAGGTCTGAGGAAGGTTGCAGGCCTGCAGAAGGATGCTGATGACAGACAGAGAGAGAGAGAGAGAGAGAGAGAGAGGAGAGAGAGATCTGCCACTGCTCTAATGTCCTGGCAGAGTCTTCAGTTCTAGGAAGAAACTTGAGCCAGTGACCACCACTGACACTCAAAAAGGGCTCAAAATGCAGATGAAAACAACACTGAGATTCTACCTCACCCTAGAAAGAATGGCTGCTGTCAAGAAATCAACCAATAACAAATGCTGGTGGGGGTGTGGGGAGAAAGGAACACTTCTCCATTGTTGGTGGGAGTGCAGACTGGTGCAACCACTGTGGAAATCAATATGGAGATACCTTAAACAACTAGGATTAGAAATCCCATTTGACTCAGCTATTCCCCTGCTGGGTATCTTCCCAAAGGAATTAAAAGAATCATACCACACCAATATATACTTTGCCCATGTTTATAGTGGTACAGTTTGTAATAGGTAAAATTTGGAAATAGCCCAATTGTCCATCAGCTGGAGAATGGATAAAAAAGATGTTGTTTTTCTACAAAATGGAGTACTACTCACCATAAAGAATGAGAAACTAGAGTCATTTATTGGTAAATGGATGCATATTGAGGTCACACTCTTAAGTGAAACAAATAGGACACACTTGTAAATACCGAATAGTTTCTCTGGTATGAAAGTATATAACTGATAATGTGAAATAGGAAGAAATGGGCTAAATAACTAGGGGAAGTGGGAGGGTTAGGGGGAAGGTAAGAAGGGAAAATTAAAAAATAAGATAAAAGGAAAAAAATGAAAACAAAGTCTTTGTAAGTAGGGAAGGGAAGCTAGGAAAATGGGGAAAAAAATAAAAACCAAGATACATCATGTAAAGGTACAAGATCCCAAAGATGAATGTAACTGTACTGCATACCTAAAGTGCACCAATAAAAAAATTTATTTTAAAAAAAGCTTGAAGGCAGAAGCCCAGCTATAGAAGTTGAAATAAATTGTGTATGGGGAAGTTTAGGTATTAGGCAAAATCTAAAAATCCCAGCGTCCAAGTAGAAGCTGGCATCTGTGTCTTGGTGATGACACAAGACCCTGGTAGGAGAGAATAGAGCCC